TGTAATCCGTTACACAAGCCAGTCATGTTACTACTATATTATCTCGGACGTACATATCTAAGTTTCATAATGTATAGAGCAGATCTCTTCTAAATGCGAAGGTCTTTGGATCGATGTCAGATTACAGCGAGTTAAAAAGTACATTTTTAAGAATGTATTATTAATATATACTACACTGATAACACACTAGGGATTAATGAATATTTCGATGGATGTTAATACCTTACAATCGCAAAATATATATTTTTGAGAGGAAAACTAATATATATCATATATAACACATACGTAAAAATCATGTGCACTGACATTTCCCACGTATAAATATTTTAAAAAATGTAAAAAGCGGATCAAGGATAAATTTCGTTTGCGATCGGACAAATATTAACGATTCAGTAGCACTCGAAGAGACTTTGCATCGATCGTTATGCCTTTGAAAACGGCCGTCTTAAGAGCGGGCTTTGCGAGCCCTATTAGAATATTCCAGAGATAAGACTTCCAATGACCGTCATTAACTCTCCGGGGCAGGAAACCGGACGCAGGAAGTCACTACCGCAACTCGGTCGATCGCGTCGATATTAAATCGACCGTCGACGAAAATTCGCGAATTCACCGCGGCGAAGGGAAACGTCAAAAGGAAATGCGGAGGTCCTTCATGCGCGAGAACGTCGATCGCTAGAGAGTGTTGGATCGTTGGAAACTTGTGTGCGAAAGTATCCGCGAATTAAGGATCGCAATCGGGTCAGGAAACGAGAAGCTAGAAACTACGAGCTCGGGCCGCACTGGTTACTCCGAAAGGTTTTTGGCGAATTCGTGTGAGATAGGATAATCCTAATAGCGCAGGTGAAGAGGAAGTCTTTGAAACTCGACGTGTTACCAGGGGCAATAAATCAAACGCTTTCTTATTCTTGTCCCGAGGCGATGTGCCATACACAAGAGGTCTTTTTGTACAGAACCGATTCGTCCCATCCTCCTCTGCGGTCTGAAACGCATTCCACTTTCCCAACTATCTCCTTGTGGAGTTTCTCATAGCGACAATAGTTGTAGGAGGTTAAAACTCAATGCAATTCAAAGGATTAATAATAATTAATAAAAAAGATATAGAGAAGAAAAATATATATTAAGCAGTTATATTAAGGATAATGTTTAAAATGAGAGAATTTTCAAGAAATACCTTGACCTTTCAAGAAATACCTTGATCTCTCAAGAAATAGCTTGACCTCTTGGCTCTACCAAGAAATGTCACTTACTTACTGTTGCTCGACCAAGAAATATCACTTACTGTTAAACTTGAACGCAATAATATTTAATTTGTTTTTTCCGTAATTATATATTTATTCAAATATTATAATTATAACTTAAATATACGAAATACAATGAAAAAATAAAGAAACTTGTTTTGCTGTGATAGAAATGATTTACAAATAGAGATAATTATATGCGAGTGAGGAAGCACATTTACAATTGTATATACGCGGATATCAGTTTCATGTAACTAAATCGTCACTAAATCGCATCGCCGTTTGTAGTATATCGAAAAGGGATACAATTATTCCCTTGCGACCGCCGCAGCAATATTCATAATGTAATAATTGTGACTGCTATGGACACACGCACATGCATGCACACTCATTGGTTTATGCTGCATAGAATATCACGCTTAGCGATTTGGCCTCAAATAAATGAGGATTTAATGAGAAACTGGTACAAGTGATAAGTGCAAATGCGCTGTTTCTCATTAATTGAATAATTATCGAATCTTTGGAAATGCCGATTTTATAATAAAAGCATGACACACATATCAATAATATTAAAAGATATTCGTAGCTCATCAAATATTTTCACTAATAGCGCTCTTTAGCATTTTGCAATTTTTATTTCGACCGTGTAAAAATGACGACACTCTCATAATTCGTATTGGAAGAGATTTTTCGTTCACGTCGATGACTTGCAAAAAACGTGAATAAACGTCGCCATAAAGAATGCCATAGAGATCGGCTGCTTTGACCCTACCGAGTTTACGCTGACACGGAGATGAAAGGTTGACACTAAAAAACGGCGATTAAAACTGCCTGCCGGCATTGAAATTTATTTTAACCGGTTACGCACTAATCCTAGACATTGAGAAATAATTGAGAGAAAATAGAACGGTTTATGAACGACATTATGGTGTAGTTTCTTGGCGGACACAGATGCTATTTTGATAAGCAATTTACGAGAAAAAGGACAACAGGCAAGTAAATTTACCGGAGAAAATACCTTTGCGCAAGGTAAGTTTGCATAAATAGGTAATTACGCTATAATATAATTTTTTTTTTTAGAAAAGAGCGAAGATGTAAGATAGGAATATTGAAAATATACAATTATATCGCATAAATTTTTGCAATAATGAACTATCACAATCTGAAGATATTAGCAAATAAAATTTGCAATATGAGAATTTATTTTATCTAGGTTTTATTTATATTTTAATAACATCGCGAAATATAAATACAATAATTATTACACTTCTAATCGTTGCACTTTAAGTTATCCGGTATAAAAAAATTGGAATAAAAGAGACGTATTTTTCTCACAATAGATTTGTCGTTCTAATCTCTTTTCTCTGTCTGTTGAAAGCAACGCGAAGAGAAATTTTAGGTATTCCGACATTGGTTTTAGCTTTGGTTAAAAGAACTGTTTTCGTCTTGCCGATTGGATTGTTCGTCGATTCGTATTGACCAGCGGAATTTAATTATAAGTCGTGCATTTCGGATGCAGATGAGAGTTCGGCAGAAAGTTTTATGCCAACGTATTCGCTTTAATCCCTATCATTGTTCATTCTGTCTTTCTGCTTTACCGCTTATTCGTTTACGATCGACAGGCAATAATACATTTTACACTGTTAAATTGGTTTATACAATTCGATAATTCGCTATTTTTTAGAAAAAGCTGCAAAAGACATCAAAGACTCGTCTTAGATATTTTCTGGCAGATTATATTTAAATTCTATGGTCGTGCAAAAAAATGTCCGAAAATTTTAACATTAAAATATAATCGAAACTTGTCAAATGTATACCTCAATATAACATATATTGAATAACTGAATAAATCATAAGTCTTTTTAAGCCATCCATTAGTTCAACATGAACCTCTTTCTTCCGTGAAAAGAGGCGTCTAAAATCTTTTGTTAATTTTATAGCGTAGAATATTTTCTTGCGCTGTAGAGGCACAAGAAAACCTTAATGTAGATGCGCGGCACAAGTTCCGTGATCGCTCTGGAAATATTCATAAGCCATCGGCCAAACGATCGATCGTAGACTAGCGATTTATACGTCGTTATAAAAGTTTATATCTCACCTCGTCGTCGCGATAAATTCTTCGATAACTTTGACGAAGCCGGCTTATGGTCGCCTGCGTCGCATGCATCGTACCATCTCCTCTTCCGACCATCGTCTGCAGTTCAAGTTTTCTGCCGCGCCCATCATATTTTATAAACATTCTTTTAAGTGGATCTGAAAGGCGCCATTAAGGGTAAGAGGCTAAAAACATGGATAAAAAGAAACAAAGAGAGAGAAAGAGAGAGAGAGAGAGAGAGAGAAAGAGAGAAAAAGAGGCAAACAGAAAAGGAGAAATGCAAGGTAGGAGGTCACATCTTAGATCAATATGTCTCTGTGTTTAATCGCATTGCAATTGACAGCAGACTGAGAAAGATAAAGTACATTTTATGTTAATTATTCAAATATTATATCTATGTTAATCATTCAAATATTATTCCAATTATTATATATATTAATATATATTAATATATATTAATATATATATTAAATATAATAATTAATAAAAAAAATTAAGAGAAATTTTTGCAGTGAATTTTGTAGAATCAACTTCACGTACATGTTTATATTTATTTATATTAATATTTATATTTATTTATTTAATTATCTGGATAAAATTGCTAATTATTTCGTAACTGTAAATCTCACGAGAGTTCGCGGTTGTTGCAAATTTTTAAGTTTCCGTTGCAAGACACCTGTTTGGTGTGCGGTTAACTACAAAGAACTTTCATAACTTGCTTGTTTGAGATCTTGCACAGGAGAGGAGGGAAGAGACGCTGCGGATATAGAACGGACAGCAGGAAATATGGCACACCACCGCGCAGAACGTTACGGAATATAATGAAGTATTGCAGAGATGCACGTGCACGTCTAATTTAGATGCACATCCAACTAGGAAGTTAGATATATATTCTATATACCATATCTAACCTGATAGACAGATTTTATGGGCCATATTTTCCTATTAAAATAATATCGATGATGATGGATTCCGTTGAAACTTTTAACGCGATATTAACTTTTAACAAGCCACTCTCGTTCCTCAAACTTTAGACCGACGCAACAGTGTTTTTATTTTATCATCATCTTTCAATGTAACACATCATCTAGAATGCAAAAATATTTAAAAAACAGCACTACAATATATCATGTTGTGCATGTAATAATAATGATGACAACATTCTTTATCTTGTAAATTTAATAAAATATATGTATATATTTATGAAGGATAAATAAACATGCATATATTTAAATTGATAACAATAATAATTACATGTATTTTGCCTAAAGCTGATAAAATAGAGATTTTAGAGAATCTAAATCGTTCTCCGTTATTGATAAAATGATCATAGAGCTTGCAAGCTCTTGCAAGCTTTATTTACATCAGTTGATAAAGGAAAGCTTGCGTTGTCAACTAACCCTTTATCGATATATTTCTCTCACATGGTATTTAAAAAATTGTATATTAAAATATGCGAATGACGATAGAGAAATATATAATGACGATACAGAAATATGATAATATATATGGGATTTTAAAACATGTAAAAAATTTGAAATTTATTTAGAAAAAAAAAATATATATATATATATATATATATATATATAATTTTTTATTAAATTACAGGAAAAAGATTGACAATAGAAAATATAATATTTATTTTAATAATCAATGTTTACTTTATTTATACTCTCATAATACTGACATAGATTTATTCAACGAGGTGCATTTATAATACTGTTTGTTAAAAAAAAATATATATTGAGATCGAAGTACGTGGTTTATCGTCGAAGAAGAGATTATTAAAAGTATCATTGAAATACATAATACAAACTGTGTGTATGGATAGATATGTGTATGTGGTAGGATATGAACTTATAATATATTGGCAGTTTAAAAAAAATTACTTCATAGAGAATAACTTTGCCACATGTAAAAAAAAAAATTGACGAATACAGCGCAGAACTCAGTAACAATTGCATTGTAATTAATACATGCTGCATTCCACTGATCATGAACAGCAGCTTGTTTTTCACCTGCAATGAGATTTAACAGATAGTTAATAAAAAATTAGCATTTTATCAACACATTATGCTTATTTATTTTGTTGAAATTATATTAAAATTACATCGCTAGCCATTTTTTTCCTAATGATTGATCTTAAATTTTTATAGTAAATTTCACATAAATCGCAACTGTTTAGACGTCATATATGTATTTTAAAGATATTTATTTAGAAAAAATGAAAGTATTTATAATGTTAAAAGGATATATAATGTTATTTATCTATTCGCTAATTCGATAAATTCTATTTAATTTACCATTTAGGACATGAATATGCACCGCGGTCGTGCTGAATTGGCTTACTGAGCACGTATATTCGCCGCTATCAGTCTTTTTCGCTCGTTCGATATAGAGTCTCGTCACCACGTCCTCATTCGATCTAAAAAAAAATTTGATTACTATATAATACAATGTTATACGTTCGTGTGATATAATTTTTGTCTACCAAATTTTAATTAAAAAAATAAAAATATATTAACATCAATAATATCAATATAAAATATATAATATACTAGTATGTAATTGTAATTGTAATGCATATAATTTCTAGATGATTAGGCGATATTTTGTGCAAAAAATATATAAATAATATATATAAATATGAATTGTCTAATGCAATTAATTTAAATCCTCGAAATGTTTAGTTTGTTTTCATCCATTTAAAAATAAACTAAATCAAAGTATTGTTCTTGTAATGCGTGTTATTCTACGCGTGTTATTCTATGCGTGTTTTTCTATGAAAAGTAAGTAGAAATAACAATACATTCGCACAATATTATAATAATAGGGAAGCCAGCTAAGAAGCGAGTGTCGAAATAACATCACAAAAGCAACCCTATACATAAAAGAAACACAATATACATTTGAAGTTGACGAAAGGCAGAAAATAAACGCGAAAATATATATAGTCGCAATATATCTTATAGCAGAGTATATATCTTTGATAAATGATCTTTCAATGTTCGCTCGAGAAAAACACTGTTGTGCGTGTTGATTTTTTCCTCTTCAATCATTCGTTAAGCGATCACGTCGAAGGAGCTCAGTGTATTCGCTGAAACTCTGGCTGCATGATGCCTATAGGACCAAGAGCGTTTTAATAATTTTCTTCCCAAATTTCTCTCTCGTATTTTTTTCTAATAGGAAATGCTTATGCAATATATGTCAACACAAATATTTCTTGAATAATCAAATTTACAACAGTTTTATTCCTCTTACATCAACCGTAAAAAATAAGCTTCACAGATAACGTCTGTCTAAAATTGAAAGAAAAATAGATTATCGTTGTAGGTCGTCTCGAGGGAGGATTAATCGCAAGGATCGTATTTTGCACAAAGCGTACCGTCACTCGTCAACGCATACCTTTACGGGGTTTAGAAGGTAAATGCCCGACGCGTTACGAGAGGATAAGAGCAACGATATGTACCCGTATGTAGACAATACACGGATGCGCATGTACATATACACATGCAAATCGAGACTCAGCCGTATATCCGTCTCCCGGAAACCCCGTTCGATCCATCGTCACTTGCGATATATGCTCACCCATTAATGTGATAAACGTTGACGTGATCCGGCAACGTCTCGCCATTTTTCCGCCAGACGGGATACGGTACTCTCGAGTCGGGGCAAGATGGTCGGACAACACACGCCAGCTCGATACCACTTCCGGTCTTGTAATACCGGTCTCGCAACTCGTGTCTGGCTTCATCGATGATTCTAATATCCGGCGCTATAAAGATGTAGACATACTATTGAATAATATTTAATAATCGATGAAGGAACATTTTTTCTTTATTATGCTCCCTTTATATAAATATTTTTTTTTATTTCTCCTCTTTTAATTTATTTAACGCAATTCGCGTGATTTAATTATTAAAAGTACTGCAAAATACAGGCTCAGCATAAAAAAAAAATAGGCATTCATTTTTAAAAACAAAAAAAATCCTTACATTGTTAAAATATTTAATAACATTAGTTTTAATAAAACAAATAATTAATAATTAAAAGTTTATTTATTAACAAATATATTTTTATACGTTATGAACATCATTTTGACGTTAAGCGAGAAAAATTTTCGGCGAGAAGAATTTTTCTTCGTACTTGCATTTTATTTTTCGCATTTTTAAACATTTACGTAATCAACATCTTCATTTCGTAATTAAAAAATGTAAAAGGATACGGTTAGAAATTACACCGTGGGTAGCACGCACGGCGAAATTCGTATGCGCGAACGTAGTTTGCAGATGCGAGGAAAGTAAGACAAAATAAAGTCGCCATTGTATGCAACGAGACGTACTACGTGATACAACTGCGGCTGGCTTACTTCCGCTTGCGGGTTGCTGCAAGATTTTCTCACGGTAATTGAATCTTTACGGGGGCGGAATTTAAATTCGCGACACCGTTTCCTCTCTAGATGAGCAACACAGCCGACTATTCACGACGTGCATTCGGATTTGTGCTCTTCAAATGGAAAACAATGTATGCATCTCGTAGCTACCGACGTCGCCGGATTACGCCAATGCTGTAATATATCATTCAAAAACATCCCGAGGACACACGTACAATTCGGGCCGAAGTTATATGTCAAAAGTGCAACCTCTATAAACTACTAGAATTCTATAATTTATAAAATGTATGCTCTCATACATATTTTCTGTCGTCATCTAAAATATGAGCAAAAATGATACGTGACATCTCAATTATGTAAATAAATATAAATACAAATATAAATATAAATACAAATATTTTCATAAATAAGAGAAACGTCTACATTAAATTATCAAAAATATGATTCAAAAAATCCGCATATAAGCTTCTCACTGAATTATCCTCCTGTATATACGTAATGTTAAAATTTATTACATATATAATTAAAACAATTCGTTATGTCTTTGTTTACTTCAAAATTTTATTTTTTAATTATCTCATTAACATAAATTATGTTTACGTTGTGATAGTCCCGTGTTTACATCCGTAATATAATTCATATTTTTTCACATAAATATTTAATTTTTGTTAAATGCAGATGCTAAATGTTTCACGAGTATAAACGCTCTCGAGGCGCTTTCGCTTTTCAACGCAATAAATGAAAATGAATAATTAATCGATAAATCGAAGAAATGTCTCCGCAATGAAGGCAGCGAGCTACGATAATGCTTATAAATGAGAGTGAAGGGTATTATATGAGTATTAAATGAAAAAGTTTGGGCAAAGTATATTTTCCCTCACGTTTGTACGATTCAAAGTTGCAACATTCAACACGCGTTGTCGTGGTATTTTCCTTATTATTGGCGCAACGTTCTCTTATATTGATTTTAAAACACTTCTGCATCTATATACAATATTATACGTATACATTTTTTTGTACTTGCCCGGGATATTTTATTCCCTCATAAAAGCACGTGGTATTACCGAGAACAGTGACGTTCGTGACCAGCATTCTCGGCGGATGCGTATTCACTTGGCAGACATATACTCCGTGATCTTCCCTCCGCACTCCGGAGATGGCCAATCTCCAATTGTTTGGATACTGGAAGCTCACGCTATACCTTGAATCCGATGTGTGAGTAGCATTACCAAGAGTTAGGAGTAGGAGCGATGCCCAATCGTTGTTGCGTCGTAGCCACATGACCTGCAGGATTGATGATATTTATCGATGATATTAGAATTTATACAATTGAATTTATACAAGACGCGATAATTATAGATGCATCAGGAGAATGAAGAGTGCATGTTATATACATATTTAAATATATTATCGATCAAAGTGACATCAACCGAGTCGCGGATAGTTTGACAAGCACCTGTTTTCCAGAAAGCATCGCGACGCGACAATCAAGAAGAGCGGTTGATCCAAGATGCAACGTCACATTTTGCGGGTCATTGATACCCTGGCCATCCGCATTCTCGAAATACGGATCCCAATCTGTGACCCGATGATGCCTCAAACGCGGAATTCGTAGAGGAGGCAGATTGGCTATTATCTCCTCTGAAACATGTCATTAAACAAATCTCATTAGATGGCTTTTTTTTAGTTTTTAGCTAAATTATACAGTTAATGAAAACGAATGTTTCCTGTTCTAAACAACAGAGAAAGAACAGCAGAGGTCGGCAAAACAAATACGGGAATTTATTTCAACTTACATGGCGTACTCGCGTTTCTCGCGTTTTGCAACGAGAAACTTGCGTTTTCATGAGAAACCCATTACAGCCGCACTATTCAAACTCGATGTCGGCGGCTTACGTTGGAAAATCTTGGTGAGATTGTATCTTGGAAAACATAGTTCAAATCTTTATCCATGCTTTCTATATAGCTAACAATGCGAATCTCTCGCAACTTAAAAGCTAATCAATGTACAAGCGTGCTTTACCCGACGATATAAATATCGTCAAACGTTAAATATCACGTTAAAATGCAAATATTATTATGTTAACACTATATTGACATAATAGAAAAAAATTTCAAATATCTTCAGATTTAAATATGTGTATCCACCGTATATATTTATTCAATTATGTTTCTTTTGCAACAAATTACAATTGTAAATGAGTTTTTACTCTAGAGAAAAATACTTTCCTCTCCTGTATTTTTTTAATTTTATACTATTTTTTTATTATATACTAACAACACGGCTTAGATATAATAATACACTTCTTTAATTAAGCAAAGTTGCATATCTTCAATTATCGCGGCAAAAAAAATATCATTTTTATAATGCTTTCATTATGCTCACGTTGTAAAAAGAAATTGTAAAGTTTTCATATACATTGCAAACTTTATTATTGAAACACTTATTAAAATTTTTTCAATTATATCTTCGCAATACAATGTTGCATACTTATATTCCTTAATAAGGATATTGAACATTTAATTTTAATACCAAATATTTTTTTCATTTCTTTCCACAATATCAAATTTCACTATATCGTATATTATGCTTAATAATATTTATTGGTATTATTTGACAGATATATGTTCACATATAATAATGTGCAAAACAACATGCGTGTATTTATTTTAAAGCGATATTCATACATGGATAAAATTTTTGATGAGAAATGTTGAAATTAATGTCAAATAACAAGTAATAAATATAGCAAGTGACAAATAATACTTGTTCAAATATATCATAAAAAACCGAAATTTAAAATAATTGGGATTTTTGAATAGATGAAAAAGCAATTGGGCTCGGTTCGAAAAGGTATGTGGTGCAATTAAAAAGCAGAGAAAGAAAGATTAATGATAGAGAAAAACGTCACGAAATGAACGATATTCGAGAGAATAATAGGTTCCGGTTTTTCCTATTAATTATTCGATAATACTAAGTATTCCGGATGAACGGATATTCGTATCACACAGCTCGGGCATACGGTGGGGATCGATTAAAGAGGAAAAATTCTGTGGAGAATTCAGAGAAACGGAACAAGCGCGAAAGAATAAAGAGGGCGCAAGATAAAGTTGTAGCCGGGTAACCTTTTGACCCTTTATTTCGCACGCTTTGTAACCGCGCGAAGGTTTTGCGAAGCACTCAGAAATTTTACGGATACTTGAAACACAAAAGGTACAATTATACTGTAATGGTGAGCAGGTGGCTTCGCGGTAACGAAAACGACGCGGTGTTGGAAAGTTGTGGGCAAGGTACCCACAGTATTTTATCCTGACGTCATTTCTTCGTTGCACTTTATGTATTGTCTTATGGCTTGTGTAAATTTAGAACTCTCTCTCTTTCTCTCTCTCTTTCGTTTAAACAATATTTGTCCTTCGAAAAAATAACATAAAATATTAATCCGTATAAAATATCAATGCATTATTAAAATATATTTTTTTAACTTAAAAAAATATATACGTATTTTTTTGTGCTCTTATTTTCTTATAATAATATGGCAACAACAATTACTCACAATAACTTTCGAAGCAGTTTTAATCCTGCAACGAAATGCGTAATATTTTCGGGCAGAAGTTTATAAAATAGAGAGAGTATATTATAATCATAATTTTCGTTTTCATTCTGTTCCTGTCTCTTTTTCTCCAACGTCTTACGTAACCCTGAAGAGTCGTTTGAGAGAGAATCTTTCGAGTCTGTAAACGACCGACATGACTCTCGGTGAACGCGTAACGACGCTTTCTTACGATCCCAAAGTCCACCGAGGTCAATCCCTGATTTTCTTCGTGGCTGTCGAAAGCCCGGATATCCAATACGAGCTTGCGTAGGAAGACACAAGGTTATAAGATTTTGCACATCTAGAAAGTTCATCTCTTGTTCTCCTTAGATACATAACTAAAAGTAGATTGTCTCCCGTCATATAAACCTGCGAGATCGCGGAAATTGAAACCTTATTCGTCTTTAGTCTCCATGCAATTTTGTAATAATCTTCATAACGAAGAAGAGATAAAAGAAGTGAAAGATCAAAGAAGATATAAGATGATAATATATTGTCGATATGAGATATTATAACAATGTTCTGAACTAAAGAATCGAGAAAAAAGACGGAGAATACAAGCAATTTTTGAATTATTAACGATACACAAAAGCTCCTTTGAATTAATAGTAAAAAATCAACTCCTTTTTTTGTTTATCTCTCTTACTTTTATTATTAATTTCCACATTTCTTCTCGTTTCTATATATATTTATATATTTGAAGAATGTAATATGTTTCCAAAACAAATAAATCATTATGCTTGTTGCATCGGCAATTACGACAAGTGATTTTTTATTATTACACATCTTTAAAGTTGGAATTCATCTGGACTGATCTGATTCCGGTCGACAAAGGAAATCATTCACCCGTTATTTATTCGATTATGAGAGAGCGTTCAGGGTTAATGAGAAAGAAGGTTAAATGTCTTCGTCAACGTCCGCCTTTATCTCTTTGTCAGATTTCATAGTTCGTATTTTAATGAAATGGACAAGTTAAGGAATCAAATGTTGGCTTAAAGAATGTCAAATTCTTGCCGAAGTCATTCTTGTCGAAATAATATGAAATATCCTATATTTTCGTTTATTATTCTTGGAACGATGTGATTTGTTGCAAATCAAATAAATATCAGCGTTATTTAATTAAATTAATATGCAATTTGATTGATTTATTATTAGATTATTACAATTGCTAGAGTACATTGCTAACGATTGAAGAATATTAAACGGACAATGACATTCGTTTATCGATTAAACATACATGCAACTCCCTCTAAAGCTAATTTAATTTATATTTATTAATTTGCACAATTTATTTCTTATTAATTTAATATACCGCACAAATTAGTAGTAAACTCATGTATGTCAAATTGATATTATTATATTGGCAGCGCAAACAGAATTTATTTATGCGCCTTTATAATTATGTCTTTTGTGATCATAGTTTTGTAAATTCAATCTGAAAAACCGATATAACAGAGATATAGCAAGGATATATATTGACAGTTAGACAGATTTAGCGAACATGGCGAACGTATATCACGAAATGTATATTTCGAAAGGCTTACACAGCTCCATTAATTTATTATCATCCAATCAAGAGAACATGGTGAGGCCTAACAGAGCAGAAAATTAAATGTCTTCTACAATACTTGCGATATTGTCGTCAAATATTTTTCTCTCTTTTTCTTCCAAGTGTTTTCTTTTTAGCTCATTTTTATATAGCACGTATATATCGGTTAGTGTGTATTAGTACTTAATTATTCGTTCGATTACAGTGGCTAAAATAGAGATTTAGAAATTTATCCATTATCTTAATTTAAATAAAACGTATATCGGATATTGTGTCGAGAGAAACGAAAAAAAAAGTTTATTTTCTTAAATATACGTATTTATTTTGAAAACGAATTAACGATTATTACAGATATAGCCACTGTATCGTGCATGCACGAAAGAATCATGAAAAGCGGTGAAAGAATCCGTATGATTTATGATCTCGAGCGGGCGAGCACTTAACGTTACGTTATTCATTCAATTGAAAATAACGGATCTCCGTTTTTTTAATTGTATTCCAACGTTTCTCACGTGGAACGGACCTAAACGGGCGTTTCGCGATCCCTACAAGAGCGCAGACCGTGTCCCATCGTTCGAGTGCAACGCGAGTGCAAAGCCGGCTTCGAGATTTCAGTGCCGCGCGAGATTTCATCGCATAATCCGGTCCGTAAATGCGAATCGGCAGCTGCGCCGAGCGAAACCGTTGTTCGCGAGAGTTTACGTAGAGGCGACGATTTCCACCCCCGCGATATTAATCGTTTGTGACGGAAATATAAACGTATGAAATATGGACGGAGGTAAAACGAATAAAGAGACTCGAAATATTTTATCGGGTTGTTATGTATCCGCAAACGAATGACACTCGCACATGATTGGAAAAGATACCTTTGTATTTTCCAATATATTTTGGTCCCGATAAATAGCACACTGTATTTTTTTTTGGGCGTGACAAAAAATCGATATTCAAAAGATTAAAAATAGTTGTATAGAAATGGGACGGGAGAGAGATAACGTGGGAAAACTGCATTAAAAAAGCATTATAGGCTTTTTGAACGGCGTTCAGAAGAAGATACGGTAATATCGCGGTGCATCACAATGTGCCTTTATTGCGATCGATGTTCTCATAAGTGAATTTCAAACTGTGTACATACACGCCACGGTAGCATTATCACAAAGACGATCTTTAATACAGCTTGCGAAACGCATCCTTGACGGCATTTTGCAAAAATGCAGAACCGCGGAAACGGAACATTGCGTAAAATAACATTAATTAAGAGCATGTCCATTAGATATTCGGAAGCTGGCGCTTATAATGGAAAAAGTTCGAAATCACTATTACTGTCTTTCATTAACGTTAATGGGATGCAGCTGAAACCGCAAACGAAAAATCTGCCCGCTCACAACACAGCGGGATTGAAGTATTTGCCAAGGTGTTTTATTATCGATCCATTATGCAATTTGATCTTCATGATTATCGCATTCTCTTTGTTTTAGCTCTGTTACGGTAATTTGCTTCGCTATCATTAATTGCGACGAGGCTATCTTAATTGGGACGCGGAGAACGTACGTGTCGTTTTAAGTGACCGAATAATTCTACTGTTATCCAGGGGAAATCATCTCCCAAAACGGCCTCTTTTATCTCTTTCTCTCTCTCCTTTTTCTCTTTCTTTCTCTCTTTTTCTCCCTCGTGTTCCAATAATACGGATATTCATCGGTGCGGATCACAAATTGGAATAATAGGATCTATATCTGGAAATATTTGGCGTCGAAATCACTCATTTAACGCGCCTATATTAATTTTTGGACCTAATTACTATAAAAAATTACCCTATTAATTCCATAATATTGTTGGCGCTAAATCATTATAGATAACCAATATCGCGCAAAAAAATTTCATAAATAACGAATAAACGTCATCTGATTGTTCTTACATTTTTCATTCGCCCCTCGAGAAAATTGCTGGTATTCTTTTCCACAAAAAGCCGAGATGATGTGTATCGCGCTATTTCACATATACATCTCTCGAACAGGAAGGTCTATCCTTCCTTTGTCTCATCCTCTTTCTTCCGTGTTTTCTTCGCTGGTGCAAAGATGCGCGGTTTCGACGATCAAGGGTGGCGACGTAATAAATATACATCCGGAACATCATTTGTTTCCGTACATCGCCTTATGGCAAGGGATGCTACCATCTGTCTTGTCGCTCATTTTTCATCGAACCGATACCGGGTCCTGTTGATGTTTCCGCGATCCTTCCCGTTGAGGCGAGACGACGTTTGGGAGTTTCTCATACCTTGAAACCCGACGTAAATCCAATTACGAGAGCTAGGAATGCATATAAGTTGGACTAGCGAGTTCGACAGAGGCCTAAAGTTTAAAAATTTTCCGTACGAATGAAATGCACCTAGAATTTTTTCTTTTTCAAGTTTTAAATCATAATTTTTAAGGCATATTCTTGTATGTTTATCATCATTTACCATGCATTATTTTATCACATTTTCTATCGCAAACAGTCATGCTTCCTAAAACATACCAATTTTTAAGAACAAAATTAGTTTAATGAAATTTGTCCGTAAGACGCTTTAAATTACATGTCGGCTGTAAAACCATGTTGCGTCGTGAGAAACTTCGCAGTGCAATAACATTGTTCCTAAATTATGGATCGTAAAGGATACGAACGTCGCGAAAGTTGTAATTACTCTCGCAAGTAATGAAAGAACATGGTCTATCAATCGATAAAAACCAATATCACGCGAGGTCAACAGTTTATTAAAGTGACAAGTTGTCGCTTTCGCCGCAATGACAAATTTTCCCTGTCGATTCGAGGACAGGTAACGCTACGTCACATTCTGGCAAGATGACACGCTTGTTCGTAATGATGAAAGTTTACATGTAATCCCCTCGGTAATCCTTCTGACCGATGCGCGATATTGAACGATGAATGTGGCCGTAATTTTGCGCGTCCTATCATTTTGCGTTATCTTGACGCTACGCGTTCAAGTATTTATGCAATTTCATTTCTCTCATATAACTTGGTATTAAAACTACTTGCTCTAATTAGATTGCTATGCCGATGACGGGGAAAGAGTCTTAGCGCGTGCAAGGATTGCAGGAAGAGGGAAAGCTAATTCCCGCATAATTATATTTCCTGCAGAGTATATTTATAAAATTCTTTGTCCTTTGCAGAATATTAAACTTTTAAATTGCGCGCGATTCATTAATTCGAATCTAAATATTTTAATTTTGCAACAATGTCAAAATAGAGACTTATGTACTTCTGCCCATTACTTTGCATTCTTAAAAATTCTTATCTAATTTTTGCCATATGTAAGGTTGTGATCATCATATTTAGTTTTAGTTTGATTAGATCTACAGTAAAAGTATGCATAATGAGATTAAATTTATAATTCCGCGGTGTGACAAATAGGTCAAGCGTGCATGGTCAGATTCACTTCCTGCTACGCATTCCGCATGTTCCTATCTGTACATATGCTTCATTATAAACTAGAAGTTTGATATGTAATAAGTGTTTGTTTCTGGTGCTGTTCTCTGCCTTTGTTTCATTTGATATATCAAACAAAGGGATGCTCGTCAGCTTTATTACTTTATGGCAATTACTGCTTCGATACGATCAGAATCTATCAATTTCTGCGCAGACTTTTATAAATATGCGTGTTATAAAAAAATTCAAATACTCTATCAAATATTAGATTCATACTCACATTCGTCTCAGCTGAATTAAGTGCATGAGAAATTTGATGAAACGTTCAATTTGACAGTAATTCTTGTAAATTATTTATATATAATTATTTATATATATATTATATATATATATATATATATATATTATATATATATATATATATATATATATATATATATTTCACTTTATAAGTAAGGGAGTAAACGTCGATAAGAGAGGATAGGAAGATTTTATTTCCGATTTTCCGCGTGCAATGTTATGTCAAAGTCGTAAAATGTACGACCTGAATTGGCAACAACAAACTTTACAAATAACTCGAGACAGCTCGTGTATGTATGCAGTCAACACTCACGCATCGAGAGGCATACGCTACAATCGAATGACAAGTCTCCAAACGAGTTTTGAATTGAATATTTTTTTATGATCGCACGAGATACACTTTCCTCTAAACTATTCAGAAGCGGCTTTTTTGACAGGAAGCCCCCTTTTTCTCTCTCAGTATCACACATGCATCTGTATCTCTATAGAATTACACACGCGAAAAGGCAAAGATGTGTAAAATGTATGGCAAAAACGACACGAAAAAAACATTCCTCTTCAAATAAAAATATCACAAATTTTCCTGTACACGTTCTATTAATTTTAATACAATGATCATGACGATGGTTCTTCCAAAGAGCTTGATAAGATTGCGCCGCATTACTGTAAGCACGGCTTCAAAGAAATGATCGTAATGACAAGATTAAAGTTTCATGAGGACTCGAGAATATCTACAATATACGTGTTATTCTATACAGTTTGTTGTTAATATAAGGCAAGCACGGCTAAAAAACAGAAATTATGTGCAATATTCGCATTGTATAGATACAGATCGATCTTTTCTTTAAAATTTAATAATAGAAGCAGAGAATTGAGAAAATGTAAAAATAACATCTTCTTTTATACACTTTAATACATGCTCTGTTGTGCGAAATTTTTTGACGTTTCGAAATAATAAGGTTGAGAAAAAGGAGCTTAAATAACGTGCATTTATCTCAAGCACGTTGCACATTTTTTCATCATGCTATGAAAATTTAAAATTGCACTTGCATGAGGACTCTAGAAAATGAGTCGACTGCAGCAAGCGACTCTTTAAAGTCTAATCGGTTCAACATTGAAATCCGGAAACCGTTGTGAAGCTATGTAGGACGAATGTACAGCTTCTTATCGGCTCTCTCAGCGAGGAAGTCCGCGCAAGCTTCTACAGAAAATAAATAACCGAACGGTCAAGCTAATACAGATTGTAGCCCATCGGAAATCGACAATGTAACCATTCGATGTGTAATTTACCAATCGCAGTAAAACTTGATTCGCTCCGAGGCTTCTCTAACAAAAAGATGTGAAATATCATTCTTGCTTATTTTCTTTTCCTATACCCGTATACTTTATTGTTAATTGACGTTCTCTCTCTCTCTCTCTCTTTCTCTCTTCCTCTATCTTCTCAGATGGAGAACTTTACCACAATATTTTTATATATACTTTTAAAATACTATGTAAAAGAAAGTCTAATCACCGCGTAGATGGCGGACCACGTTGTAAAATTTCACATAGTATCGAAACTTTGCCATGCTTGCAAGTTTGGCGCGAACAAGGTGCATAGAAGTCCGACTAACTTTTCCGCCAAACGAATCACTCTTACGACTCGACTTTTCTACGGCTTAGTAATCAACTTTGGAACGAGTAATTAAACTCGCAATTCCTTGCTCCTCGTTTCGGAATTTCTATACAATTATTATTATATTAGCAACGATTTCAAAGATTATTCGGTCGCGATGAAATATATTTAACGAGGAGTGGGATTTATATGGGCGACGTTTACATGCATCAATTTTCCATTTGCATTTGGTACGAATTAATTTCTTTTTTAATCAAATTTTGTAGGTGAAAACACGTGACTTTATAGAAAGAACAATAGTAAGTAAAGTTGGCCACCCTTTGTTTCGTTCTTTTTCGGTACGCATACAAAAGTAATTGCGGCATTTACATCAGGGGGGGATTACAAATATTGCATACAAATTTTAACGCACCTTGCAGTTGAGTGATATTCCTGGCTTTATGGCCGTTAACGAGCTGCTCGCGCAGATGAAGTCTGTCGCGATGCCGTTGATAATTGGCGATAACGATCGTGATCATCGCCATTATGAGGAAAAACCTCGACCCCCATGCTGATCTTGTCATCGCCCACCGGATCTCGCATCCCCCGACGTTTTTTCGATGCAGTCAGGATTGTTTAAGAGGCTATGACGTATCCGCAGGATTTTCGATTTTCTCCTTGTTCTGAAATCCAAACATCGCTGAAGAATACGAATATTCGGTCTGAATGTTCCATGGATAAGCTAAGCAAATATAGTTAAATCATAGACCGGTAAACATTAAAACGATGAAATACGGGAAAACAAATAAACTAGATCTATTGCATTGACAGCAAAGCCTTCAATCATAAAAATAATTTTTTCACACAGGATGTATTTTTTCTCTCTCTTTACATCTGTGTAATTATTTTTTCATATTAGAGTTTTCCATTTTTTGAAATTATCTTGTATGATTACGAGTAATATATTCGGCGAAAACAATGGTGCTAACAAAGCCTCTTGTAAGTAAAAAGATAAGAACTAAAGGTTAATTGAATCTACTACTACTATATTTATTCTGCCTATTAAATTTTAACAAAGACTACAACTTGCATCGATTGTATTATTTCTCGCAGTTTCTGCCGCAGTGCGTACGTCGTCCTATATTGCTTTTGTTCGTGCATCTCGTCGAGTGGCGCACGGAAATAAACGAAAATGGAAGTTACTGTGGACAACGCACGAGAAAAATGCGATGACATCCGAAACAAGTGAGAATTTAGGTGTGAGCTAGAAATGTATTATTTTATTGTCCTACGACGCATTTTTTCCTTTTCCCTTTCTAAATCCGCATTCTTCAAAGAGACGGATATAATAAACGAGAAGGAAAACGCGCAAAGAAAATGCGCGATTTCGCCTCCCGAAAAACCTATTCATCTTTTAAGGGAAATTTACTAAAAGATATGTCTCGCTCTGCTCAATTTTCAACAAAACACTTTTACCCGTAAGTATATTATGTGCTTTTTTTCTCGATGCACGATAGAATAATAAAATGACTGGAAGAGAATTTTATTTCAGCACAATTTGCATACCGTGTCGCCCGTAAGACAAATTCGTTAGGTGAACTCGAGTGCCATCAAGACACAATATTGATTATGTTATATTACATCAAATACATATTATAAATATATATATCATTACTTAACAAAATAACCAGCAGTTAAAATAAAATAACAAATAAAAATGCACAAACTAATAAATTCATAAAATGCATTAGATAATATTTAGAAAAATTTTGTAGAAAAGTCAACCGTTAAAATAAAAAAACCTGTTCTATTTAAGATACACATAAATACGATTCTTGTAAAAAAAAAATAAAAATATTATCGAAATATGACCGACAAATTGTATATTGCTGAATTAGAGATATCATTCTGTAAAAAAAGATTTATTATGAATTCATAGTATTAAATTTAGGATAGATGTATTAAAAAAATAAATATGTTAATAGGAATCAACATGGTAATAAAATATTATATGATTCTAGAGTGCACATTAAAATTGAGAAAAGGGTCTAGGTTATATGAAATAATTATGCAATTATTTTCAGAACGCTGCGCTTAATATTGCTGTGTAATAAAATTTCCAACTGCCAGAATTCGCTCATTGAATTATGTAATGCCCGTTCATAATCTTCTACATGTAAAAACCATACTTTAATACAAATGCCATGTGTGAATTCGCAAAATTCTACAATTTTGCATTCGTTAGTAAATTAGCAAACGTACATCAGATGTTTTTAGAAAATTAAACATATCGTACTATGGAAATAAAATTAAATATTTTTACTACATGATATGACACACATATAATTTATATTTTGACATACGAACGTGCGCGACAGGAACTGTCACATAAAAGTACGGTACATAAAAACAGTCCCATGCATTTTATAAATATTGCAGAACAGTCGTTTTTTTTTCAACATGACGTCGACGAAAATGTTCCAAAAGAATTTGGGGAATGCCATTCACGCCGCAATAATTTGAACTGCAAGAGCCCCACGGTGATGTTCCATAAGTTCTGTAACCGGAGCAGAGTGAGGAGCCAACTCTCTGCGAACTTTGGGTATATTGTTTTCGAAGGCGTCCGGGCACATCTAATAGAATCGATGTTATGAAGTTTAGCTCGTTAGATTTCTTCGACAGAATATTGGCATATTCCCGCCGCAAAGATGTAGAACGATTATCGAGAGCGAGTAAAACGGATATGAAGAGAAGGAAAGAAAGAGAGAGAGAGCGAAAGAGAGAGAGAGAGAGAGAGCAGAAAGGAAGAGAAAGGAAGAGAAAAAGGGAAAATATGTATGATATAGAAGACACGTCAGGTGGTTACAAGGCAGCGTAAGGCTAGCTAGGCTAAAGAAACTTTCGCAGTTACTCGAGGATTCAGCTGCACAGGCAGTCTGCGGTCGTAGAGCAGAAACTGCGATCTCGCCGAGGAAGAACAATATTGGATGCTTTCGCGATTTTCATCCTTGAGATATGCGCGCTCAGATATCCAGTAGGCGGCTGGATTATTGTGTCCGAATAACAAGGTAAATGGATCTGTAATGCAAATCTTACCATTATCAAGCGGATCTCGCATATTTTTTGCGCACGCCAAAGTCGCGAGACGCATTTATCTTGCAGCGAGAATCACGCTCCTTTAATTACCAACTCTACGTTTTGTTTCCTGATTATTCCACAACGATTTCAGACGGTTTATTAATTTTTCGAGAGGATAAAAAGTCGAGCGAAAGTCGTTCATGTGCCATTTATTTACGAGAATTTGCCGCGTATTATTTTATTGACGCGCGTTAAAATTTTCACGATACATACAAAATCTACATCGTTGCGCGCGTTGTCCTTTTTTATAACGTTCTAGAATATGGCTTGGTATATTCAAAGGCGACGGGGAGATATTTACGATTCGACACATTCGTAAAATAATTCATGTGCGAGATAGAGGAAAACGGCACCACCGGCACATCGCAATATGTGCGACTTTCAAAGATTTCCTCCCAAGTAACGATACTGCTTTTCGGCTTTGGGAGTAGCGCGAAATCCGTTACAACGCTCCAGGAAGTCGTTTCCTATCGATATTTATAAGGCGACGAATCACGTAACCTACTGCCGAAATCGCAGCTGATGCGTATTTTGTTATTACCGTAACATTTATCACGTATTCAGCGCGTTTTTGTATATAACACACGAAAATATCGTGGATGAAATTATGAAGAAGAAAGAGAAAATCATCTGAGGAAAAAGTTCCAAGAATTTTTATTTTTACGCATCTCATTCTTCCTTCTCTTTTCCCCTCTTCTTTTTTTTTTTCTTTTCTTCTCTTTCATATTTTCTTATATTTCGTATCTTGAAATGCAGAATTTTTTTCGCAATATGCTATGAATTAATGTATAATAATGAAGCGTTACTTGTGGTATTTAATAGTATTAACTTCACAAGGATATAATTCAAGGATACTATTGTCGTAATACTTCTGCGCAAACTGTCCGACACACTTTGTAATGTGTAACGTCATATACAACGTGTCGTGTTGTCACTACATTAACAATGGGATGAATAGAGATAAATGATGCGACATTATTAGAATATGAGAGACGACCATTTAAACCGACCCGTACTGTCGGTGAAAATAGTATTAAATTCTTATTGATGGAACTAAGGAAACATTATGTCAAGATCAAAAGCTTCCGGTTTTTTTTTTTTTTCATACAATATCACCAATTTTATACGTCAAATGTTAACTTTGCCATAAAATAAAAAGTGAACGATTGAAGAATAAAAATGGTTTCCCTTCGTCGCTTTTCTCGTAATAATAATAATAATAATAACAAACTCTCACGTTAAGGATGCGTGAAAATATAAAACAACGTATGGATTCAAGAAATGTGAGAGAACAATTGCTCCGTTTGACGACACTCGTTCCCATATTCCCTTTTTCCAGACTCGCTTCAAGGGATTCGAGTGCCATAAGGGTGCTCCAACCGGCAAAGGGACTGCGAGGAGAACTTCGACTGCTGGATCTCGCGGGAGTTGGACTCGCTGCACGTCTTGGCGAATCGATCGATCTTGCTCGCCGTTCGTGATGTCACGTTGCAATGGGTTACCGATACCGGAAAAGGAATGCGGCGGGAAGCCACGCGAGAGACTTACCGAGACACGTACTTTGCGGGATAGAGCGTGTTCCATAATTCTAAAGCCCTTGTCCTAAACCGCGCGTAAGTACGGTTCCGTTATTTTCCGACAGGAATGGACGTACGTTCCATCACGTACGTTCCAGGGAATCTACGAGTCTTCATGAATCAATTCCGGAATATCACGCTCACGTTAATGGAACAGCTTGTAAAAGCAAAAATACATCGACCCTTAATTTATCTGTCGACAAAATCATCACGCGTTACTCAATGCGGCAAAAAAAAAGAGAGAGAAAAATGATTGAAACGCCGAAACAATGCACAGATATCGCGATGGATGATGGTGTGTGTACGTGAAGCGTAGAGATCGTCAATGAGAGAAGAACGAAATGATACGAGAAGCTCGCAGGTGAAAGGGGATATGTCAGATCGTATGTTATTCTAGTCTCCAACAACTAATTGCTATACCTACAACAGTAGGACGTATACGCAACGCACACACATGCACGCAAATTCGAATATTTGGTTCAGCGAAAAGAGTCATTTATCAAAACGTTCATTTTGTCATAAAATTTTTGTGAAAAAAAGAGAGAATTTTTTTTTAAAAACTAGTCGTTAAAATTCGACCGGGAAATTGTAGGATAATATACGTACATTTGTATTATATTTTTTCTTGACGACGTTTCGCGGGTACGAGGTGTTCTTTTATGATGCTGGCAAAGAGAGAGTTTATTACGTGTCTTTTACGCGTAAACACGCCCGTCGAAAACGACGTTAACGAGAGATGGACGAGTTTTCCAAATTGAAACAGAACGTAACTTTAACTCGTTAACGCGACTCTTGGCGTTATATTTACTAACAAAATTAAGAGTTAAACGTTAAATTAAATTTGGACACAATTCGATTCATTGACAATGTATCAACGGGATCTTTAAAGGACTTGACATTTTCAAAATATCCTCGCACAACGTGGTAACTAGTACAATTGTGTGTTGTAACTGTTTACTTTCTGACGAGTGCGATTCTCCTCTCGACAGAAAAAGAAAAATAATTCAATCTCCGCTTTCCTTGTGCAACATGGAAAGAGAAGAAAGTTCCGTCTTATAAAAGCTGCGAAGATTTCAGTGCCAGAATTGTGGAGCATTCGATTTGCGAGTTGGCAAAAAACGCCGAGATATTCTTTCGTTAATATTAACTGCAATAATAACAATTTTGTAATTTTTAACGCCGAATTTTCGATGTCGTCGCAATCGAAAATTATTTATTCGATTACAAGCAATTTACCAGCGCCCACGCATACAAACTGGCATGTCGGAGTATTCTCCACGTGGATTAGCTGCGATTGCTATCAATCACGAGCCGATTGGAGCGAGACTCGAGCTTGTTGTATGCCCGGGCGTACGTAAATCGTCGGAAAATTACGGCTTGCCGTTTATAATTACGTTATTTGGTATCCGCGAGCGTCCGCATAACATTCATCCGAACAACCTGCACCCGAACAACTGGGTCAGGTGATCATCATGAAATTGAACCTTGGATTAGTACAATGCTGCGCACTTTTTACAAGAATCGGATTAGCGAATTTATCGACGAATCGTGTATTTTATGGGTGATTTATATAAATCTCTCTCAACAAATATTGAAATATCTAGTTTGCAATTCCAAGTAGATTTTTTTAATTTTGGATGATACAGTCGATGATCTTTTAGCATAAATTTTGAAGAACTATATATCAGCGCAAATATACACCTTCTCTCGATATTACCTTCAAATTAAACCGCTTGATCGATGTGCTCCATGCAGAGTACATTTAAAAGCAAACAACATATAGATCGAGCAAACGAATAGAACAATGGGAAAGTATACAAGGTATGTTGAAAGAAAAGTAAAGAAAGAGGAGGAGAGGAAGTAAGAAATCTCACGGACGTCTCTCATTCGCGTGCAATCGAATCACCGAGACGGTTTCTCAGCCAACCTTTTGTTCGAGCGTAGCTTATCAGAGAATATTTTAAAGGCTGGTCCGGGTCAATCCTTTGCCATTTAAAGCAAGACGAAGTGGAGCTTGTTCTGCGTCCAGCAAGCGACTCATTCCATTCGTACCTAAGGCGTATGTTGGACATTTAGCAAGGCCGGCACGTATCCCCTCTCCTTCGTAAGCACATCGAATTTATCGCCGAGATTATCGGGTACACGAAGCCCACTACGTGTGAGCCATTTTTTCCGAGGGTCTGAAGGGAAAATGCTAAGTATCATCTCCGTTCATTCTTGATTCCGCGTACGCTTGCGAGAAAAAGAAAATAAACCTGGGAAATGTGTTGCGAGAACTTTTATTAAATTTATTTAACACGCTCCGAGTACGAATATTATCTTCAACTCGTACTGAATTTAGGGCACCGTTTCTTAATCTAAACGAGTAACAATGCAACTTCGTCGATGAGACTACGTCAGCTCGACTACAAGAACTTCCCCTGCCTAAGCGCATTAATGTAGATTAGTTGGAAGGTACTGATATCCCTGCATCTATTTCAAAATTTACGTCTAGCTGAAAAATCCGTTTAAAAAAAAAGTATATTTAAAATAATGTACTTGACGATGTATGTTACATGATAGCATTGTGTATACAAGATAAAAAGATATATGCTGGAAACAGCATTTGCATTTATGTTTTTTATTTTAATATAATTTTATTGCTTTGTGTAATATCTCTGACAAAAATTTTAGTATCAAAATAAATTTTATTGTCATATACTTTAAATTATATTATGATCACCGAGAACTATACGAATTTATTCTAAGAGTGTCCAATTTATGAGCGTGCTAGCCGAATAATCTATAAGTCGATGAATTTTAATCATGAAGCTGTTATTTTTATTGTTGTCATTTGATGTAGATCGTTCGTATAACGTGTGCACACCTATGATGGAAATCGAACTGGCTGGCTTACGATCTGCGCGTCCCTTGTACCGAATCATTTACATAGGAAGACGGATAGGACGGATCGCTGATCGTGTCAACCATTATTCGTCGTAGCACGTGAAATCGATTATAGGAAGCTGCAATGTTCGTTATCGGCAGATATGCATCATTCAAGAGGATAGAATTTTCCGAAAATGCAGACTCGACTTCTCGATGGTGTTTACTGTATCGCGAATAAATACACATTGTGATATTAAAACGCTCGCGCTTCTTTGACGATCGCATAATTTAAAAAATAGTAGCGATTTTAGAGATCCGAATAAATTTGTCATGTCCTGTGTTTTTTCTCAGATTTATAATGTATATACTTTGCAGAATATTTTACTTACTTACATATCATACATTTTTTAATATTTAAATCTTATATAAATTTTTATTTTCATGTCGTATAATTTAACTAATTTAAGAATACTAGTATTGCCATATGCGCTATATTGCATTTCGTCGATAATTTTAAAGAAATATCACAGAGAAATCAAAGTAGAATTCACATGTATGTGAATAGAATAAATAAAATAAAAATTAAAAGTAAAATCTTTAAGACGACAAATATAGAGCAAGTTATTTTTACTGATAATGAGTATAAGTTTCCTGTTAAAGAGATAATGCTAATGAAATGCAACTTTCCACAGAAGCTTTAAAAATGTAGCTTATAAAAAAGAAGAAATCTTTCTCTCAAGTATATTAACTCTTGTATATTAAAATAAATTTTAAAAAAAAGAGGAAGAGAACAAAGAAATTTTTTAAATAAATTTCCTTTATAAATTATGCATGTACATAGTAAAGACATTGTTTTCTTTGCACATCATTTTTCTAGAAAAATGTCGATAATTGTAATTGTTGCAACTTGTCTTGTTTATTTTCCTAGCGTTCAACAAACTAACTAACTGGCACGTAACAAGCTATGTTTGTGGACAAAAAAAGGAAACTCTAATTAGGCAACACATAGGGTGAACGCTTCTATCGATCCCCAACATGAATGCATACTTGATTATTGTTTTTAATTACTATAAAACTATTTACAATTGATTACACATAAAATAAATATTTTCTTTTTCATGATTCACATTTAACAAAAAAAAAAAAAAAAACAAAGTTTATAATATTATTTTCTATAATTTAATTATTCGCGGCAGAAACTATAATTGCATGATTAATAATTTATTTATTATTATCTCTTCCTCTTTTTCTCGCTGGGCATGTATAAGTTGAAAAAACTTGCATACGCAAATTTACTCGTCTGCTGAATTAATTATTGTTATCACTTACCAGCAGAAATTTAATGCCTCCAGCGTTAGCCTTGTACTAATAATGACAAAAACAAAGTTTGCGAGATTTAAGAGAATAGCACTCCCGGTTGGTACGGCACGGGCGGCTGGCGACTGACTGCTCCGGAGTTTGAAAGCTCGCGATTCTCAGGGCGACCTCTGTACTACCACGTGCTTGCAATGAACATGCCCTGGCGCCCTCGCCGATATGACGCACTTTGACCTAAAAAGAAATTGGGCTCGGAAATTGTAATCGACTCTCGATGTACATTGATGAAATCATAAACGCTTTACAATTTATTTTCTCTCATTCCAGGAAGATTATCAAATTTCCATTCTACGTAGCTCCTATTTTTTCTGCACTTTTCTATAATTTAATCCTAAATGTTATTTAATGATACGTATTATAGAGTGGGTTATTAAATATTATGGTTATTAAATATTACGCATTAATAATCTGCAGCTACTTTGAATCGAACTACGTACAAATTACAATGAATAAAAAGTTTTTTTAATCATTGTTCAAATTATCCGTTAATTGCATTCAGGGCTGGGATTTATAGTACATATATGTGGAGAACCATATATATGTATATGACATATAATTTATTAAACGCTTATGTGGATAGAGAATTAAAAATCCCGTGAGAATACCTTGAAATGAAGAAAATATATGCGCATTACAGAGAGATATGGATATTCATAAAATCTCTATATTCAGTTACTAATGAAGTTTTATTTACGTTAATATATGCCTGTGTATGCTGATAAAATTCATTCATGTCTATAATTATACTTTAAAATGTAATATGAATGACAAGCATTCTACTTTAACAAAGTATATACAGCTTTGATCAAAATATTAAAAAAGTTTTACACTTTGCTCTTTGTTTCTCATTTTTTCCCTCTTTCTTTCTCGGTAATATTGCACAATCAAAGTTCTTTACCCTAATCCAATTATTTTATTTTATATTCTACTTATACATTTTCTATTTTACGTCGATATCGTTTTAACTGTGTTATTTTATCTCTCTTAATATACTTGTACTTGGAAAAAAAAGAGACTGAAATTTCTAATCATTCTATATTATTTTTATATATTTTGTTCAATTATAGATGTATGCATTTTTCTTCCTATATATATTTTAAAAATTGTTCATATATTAATCAAACAAATCTGATATTATTACAAAACTGTATATTTAAAAGAAGAAATATTTTTTTCCTTTTGTTTTTTAACTTTATATCATTGTTAAATATATTTACACTTAGACGATAATGATCTATTTCATTATTCTACACCTTCCAGAAAGAATTTACATCTGGAATTTTTTCCCTAAGTAAGTTTTCTTCATGGTGAGACATTGTGGGATGAGAAATACGCCGTTGACTTTGAAAGGTGTTTGTGACGAAAAAAGTCAGTGCACGTCTTTCAGAATTTAAGACGAAGAGAATATGATGTGTTATTCTTAGATGGAAAAAAGGTGTATATATATATATATTGCGCACTTTCCAAAATATGACAGAAATCAGCTGTCATTTTTTCTTTTTTCTAAGAAAATCTTCTATCTAAAAATTTTTTCTGGATATGGAAAGTTTTTTCCCCACGATAATTTTTAAAATTACTTCTATCATTTCACAAATAAAGTTCAAAACTATGATTTTATACACGTTACTTTTTTCCTTATATAAGACTCTATATATTTTAGTACCATAATTTATTTGTATATAAATATGTATAATCTTAATAATTAAGATTCTTTAAAAGAATTATATATATATAATTATATATATATGTCACAAATTAAGAACTATTTACGATTAAATATAAAAATTAACGAATATCAAGTTATAACAATGTTACATATTTACAAAAAACGGTACATGAGAATGATAAACTACTATTTGTAAAAATAAAAGAAAGTATTTTAGAAAACTTCAAACACATCTATTCTGACTATTTAATCGTACGTAACATTAAATATATTAGAATTTAAAATATTTTGCATATTTTCTTACTTTATCGAAATATACATTGTTGAATCCATAGTTTTATTTTGCTTTATTAGTGCGTATGCACATTAATACATATATGAGATTTAATAATAAAATTCGCAAATTTTATGATTAAAATATCAATTATATTTAATCGCTAAGCTAGAACATAATCCCATTTAAAATAGTTTCTAGGATGATATCCAGAGTTGCTTCCATTTTATGCAACATTTCTCAAACTCTCGGCTTGTGTTATAGTTCAAATGAATCTTACATCACAAGATGCACCTGCGCATATGACTGTGTTTCTAGAGAGGAGTTTGGCCACCAAACAAATTACTGTGCTTGAACAGCTTTTCCTTTCTTGCCGGATTTTGTTTTCTGTTTCCAAAAAAATATAATTTTTTCATGTTACATCTATCATTTTTCAAAGATTCATAGGGAGATTCAGCATTTGGAGGAATTTATTTCTGAATGATTTTACCCAAAAGCTCATCGAATTATTATATATAAATACATTTCGTCTGGCATAAAGATTGCTTAAGTCGATATTTTGAAATAAGTTATTTATTCTGATAATAATTTTTTTTGGAAATCTACTCAAACACATACATCATATGCATATTTAAAGTTTCATTTTTATTCCAAAAATTCTTAACTTTTCCACATTATACATTTACACCATTTTCGAAAGAAACAAGCGTTATAAATAATTTGAATAACGCATTCATATTCAATATATTAAAGCAATGACAAGAAGACTGTCTTATTTAGTAACTTATATATATATATTTTTTTTACCACTTTTAAATCAAACATATGTTTCATGATAACATTAATCATAAATTTAATATGACGCATTCACTTTATAATTCTACTCAAAACATAAGGTACATTAAATTAACATTTGATATTATATTATAATTCGAAAATCGCCAAATTATCTGTATATTAGTTTATGCAAGTTTATTGATAACAGTATACTAATTGAGCGTTAACACTGATTGATTGAATATTGATTATAACAATAGATTATAATTTTATCTAATGGAGTAACCATTTCATAGTGAATTTAAATATATGTAAAATGTGTATTAAAATATCATATATCAATATATTGATTAATATGATCAACTTTAAATCTAAAATTTTAACAAAGTTTAATCAACATTACAATAAAAGCAATAAAATTTTTCGATATTTTATCCTTAATTATACAAATGTATTTTTTCAAATTTTAGAATTTTTCATGTAAAATAAAACTAAAATATCTCATAATTAACTTTTGAAAAAGATTGTTATAATAAAATAATCTACATAAACATATCAATTATTTTCAAGATATTTTCAAATATATGTTTTCTTATTTATTATGTAAATGTATTTTATGAAATATAATTAGAAGTTAATGTTAACATTATATTATAATAACCTTTCAAAGTTATATTTTATTAAAATATGGTAATAAAACATAATGTTAAATATTTTAGAAATTAAAAAATTTAATTATTTATTATATATATAATTTATATAAAAATTTACCAACATAATTACATATATATTTCTTATAAGTTTTAGGAATCTATTAATATATCAACAGACTCAATAATTGGTCGAAAATGTCCATTTACATAAAAATAAAAAAGTATTATAGTTATTTCTATATAATAACGTATATTACATTTACACCAATTATTATTATGTCGAATAAACTTTTTCAATAATATGCAAGACAATGGAATTTTTAATACAACGAAAAAAATTACAATAGAATTATGAGCGTACGTTATAATTATACATTATACATACATTTAAACTTCATATAGATAATAAAATAATAGAGCACATTTTTACTGCAAATTAAATATATCAAGAGAGAAAGGAAATATAACTGTAATTTAATAATAAATTAAGCACGCACATGGATAAGCGACCGATTTAGTTCTATAGATCTTAGACTTCTACTAAAATCCATAATGAATTTTATCAATTCTAATTCTGCGATCCTATTGCGAAAACACGCAAGCACGTAGAACGAGTTGCATTTCACAATTCTCTCTTGCGTGTAATCCGTTCATTAGTTCTGTTTGCTTCTTATTTCCAACATTCACGCGAATACAATAAGTACAAGCTTACAATAAGTTTTATGATTTCTTGAATAAGTAAATTGAGTGAGACCTTAAGAATATCATACTTTATGCTCTTGGCGAAAGTAGATTCAAAAATTATCACGTTCCCTGTCTTAAATGGAACAGTTTTAAAATATCGCATAATTAGGATACGATTTCTTGAATGGGGAATCACATAAGTCCCATTCGTGCGGAAAACTTGGCGCTCGATCCACTATCTGGAGCGCGTGTTCGAAATTTTAAACATTACACGATCAGGGGGCGATGCCTTCGGAATAGTAGCAACGAAATGAAATGCCTGTTCGTGAAACCACCGACATATGTATTCATGATATCTCACGAATAGGCAATAAAAAAATAAAAGATGAGAAAGATTCGCAAGAAATTTTCGAGAGAAAAACGAATGTAATTATAAATTTACATGTATCCTGTATAAACAAATTTATATTAAATGTTTCTTTAATAAAATAAATATGGATTTTGCGATGAGATACACACGATGAGTTATCGAGATATTTCATAAATAATTAAAGCCGTTTCTTATGCTAAAACGAAAATAATTTAGTAATGAAAAGTTTATGCCATATAAATTGATGTATATATTTATATGTGTTTATCAATATCATATTTCCCATTCCTCTCTTAACTGCACATATATAGGTTTGATTGCAAAAATAAATTATCGTAATCACGATAGCGTAAAATATATAGTAGATAGAGAGTGTATCTTTCTTTCACGTCACGTCCCCGTCATAACGATAATTTGAACGCTTGCAGAAATGTTCGATCTGCGTGTAGAAGTCTGATCATATTTTCCTCATTACGCAAAACTCGCAACTGAGTTTAAATTCAAAGGATACTCCCTGTAGTCAAGTGGATCAGACGCAAGGTAGAAAACCTGGCTTCCGAATCGATGCGGATGTTATCAGTGACTTCGCCAAAGTTAAAGGATGATAAAAAAAAAGTAAAATGAACGAATAAGTGAATTAGAAAAAGAAGTCATCGCC